ATAATAATAATAATAGTAATAATAGTAATAATAATAATAATAATAATAATAATAATAATAATAATAATAATAATATAGGCTAAAGATCCATCCCGCACCCTGAACCATAAGGCGATTCTTCATGCCGCACCCTGACCTTTCATAAGTGCTTCGATCCCTAAACCAATTTTTTTGTCGCCTAACCTTTTTAGAAGGTAGCCTTTAAGTCTCCGATTTTCTTTTGCTGATGTGGAGCTAATATGTTATTAACCTGTTTGTTTTTGTAGATGTGGAGTAGCACTGTCATCACTTAGGTGTAATATACCCAAATTAAATGGTCAATTGATAACCCTAATTCAAATGGTCAATTGAAACCAACGAACACAAACTCGTGACCAATGGGAATCTTGCCAAATCTCCCAAAATCGCGACCAACAAACCCTAAATCCCTAATCCCGACGACCTCCAGACGGCATGACGAAAATTGGGGACGAAAGTGCGAAGCCGAAATCGCAGTGAATATATGCGAATGAGGAGTAAGGTATGTTCAAGTCTATATGTAGAACAATATATGCACATAGTATAGGTATATTATAATGTTGTTAATGGAATATGCGAATATGCTGGCAATATGCTTTGAATATGATGTGTTGTGGTCCTACTGTTGTTGCTTTTGTATATTTTGTATTGATTTTGATGTAGTGGGGTCCTGTTGTACTGCATTATTGTTTGAATACGTTTGTATAAAGTGTGGTCCTGCATTCTTTAGTTTTATTTCTGACAGTTGGTTGGTGTATAAAGTGATACTGCCAAAGCTGTTGCTTTTATGATTAAATATGCCTTAAATTTCTGTTGTCAAGATGAATGAAAGTGTGGAATTAATTATTCATCATGGTGGTAATTTCCTGAAAACGGTTCAGTTAAAATATTTGAATGGTCAACATAAATAGTGTGTGTGGACCATGACTTAATATGTTATCCCCACTTAGTGAAGTGCATAGCAGACCAAAGATATGGGAAAATAGCCTTACTGACATATAAATTAACCACTGAACCCTTTACAGCTTTAAAACTATTTCATAATGATGCTAGTAGTCTCCACTTAGCTCAGATTCCTAGAGAGAATAAAAGGTGTGAAATTTATGTTGAACATGAGGTAGATGAGCCTGATGTGGTTGCTTTATCTTTACTTGGGCCGAAGGCAGAATTAGGGGGTGAGGAAGTGGGTTAAGGCTGAATATGAGGCAGAATTTAGGAGGTGAGGAAAGGTCGGAGTGAGGCTGAATCTGAGGTAGAATTAGGGGGTGAGGAAGGTGGGAGTGAAGTTGAGGGAGATTCAGGACTTGGGAGTGACTAATTCAGTGAGCAGGGGACTGATTTAAGCAGTGGTAGTGACCAGATTACTAGTGACAGTGAGTAGATTACTAATAGGGGGACAAGAGAAAAAAAGAAAACCAGGATAGATGATGAACCAATACCACCTTATGTGCCAACATCTGAAAATCCCTTAGGAGATGAAGCTGATTCTGGTTTATTATGATTCTGAAGATCCACCACCAGTTGAAGTAGATTTAGAAAATGAGGAGGTGCCAATCAAAGTACAATGATAAGTACCCTAAGTACAACCCTAAATCAGACCCACCATTTATTCAATTAGGTATGTACTGTGATGACAATGTGCAATTCAAGTTGGCTATGATTAGTTATACTGTACACACAAAGAGGAATCTTTTCTAGAAAAAGAATGATTAAAGTATGTTAGGGTTGAGTGTCTTGGAAAGGATTGTGGATTTGTGGTTTTCATGCCTAGCACAATTTATGTGCTCAACACCAGGAAATATCTCTTGTATGACATTAGATAACCCCTACAAATTCAAATTTAAATTCAAGTAATCACAATATCAAGTACAGTAACACATTTAAAGAAGTAAAGAATTGAAGTGGATTTACCTTCTACTGATCACTCATTAAGGTCCATTGAGTGTTTGTCCACAATATTCAAATCTGCCTCTAAAAGCTCCATAAATCATCTCCATGATGAGTTATTCTCAATCTCAACAGCCCCAAGCAATTGGGTACATTTGATTGTTACCATCTCTACCAACAGCAGTCAATATTTCACCCTTCAATTTTCCTTTTAAAAAGCAGTCATCTAGTCCAATAAATCTCCTGGCTCCTGCAACACTCTTGTTAAAACACTGCGAGAAGATTACCTCTTTTGTGAAGAACTATGTTTCTCTATCTCTTTAGGGTTTGTCAACCACACTTTAAATACAAGCTAGATATAAACTAATATGGTAATTAGTTTCCATAAACCAGAAACCCTTCCTAATATGTAGGATACTTAATCTCACAGAATATTCTATAAACAACTCTAAAAAACTCTTCTTCATGACTTTAAAACACACATATATCCTCTCAAACACTAAGGGTGAATTTTCCACAATTCTGGTTGTTTTTATCTTCAATGTAGATCCTGAATTTGAATTCAAGCACTCCTGAGCATAATCGCTAAGCCTTTTGAACTGACTCTCATACCCCAATATCTAACTTCTTCAATATCCCTGTTATGGCCCTTCTACACATGCTCACAGTCACATTCAAGTTCAACTCAGATTTGATGTCTTTGCTCAACTCTGAATAACCAATAGTTGAATTTTGCCTCACCTTCTCTTCAAATTTCCATTCTAACCATTTCTGACTATCCCTAAAGTAAATTGATTGTTGCATTTATGTTCCAATATAATTGCCTTCACTTGAAAACACCTCGTTCTTTCTTCTCACCCTGCACTAACATGAAAACCACAACCCTTTCCAAGACACTCAACCCTAACATACTTTAATCCATTCTTTTTCCAGAAAAAGGTCCCTCTTTGTGTGTACAACATAACTAATCATAGCCAACTTGAATTGCACATTGTCATCAAAATACATACATAATTGAATAAAGGGTGGATTTGATTTAGGATTGTACTTGGGGGTACTTATCATTGTACTTTGATTGCACCTCATCATTTTCTAAATCTACTTCAATTGTTGGTGGATCTTCAGAATCATAATAAACAGAATCAGCCTCATCTCCTAAAGGATTTTTAGATATTGGCACATAAGGTGGTATTAGTTCATCATCTACTCTAATTTTCCTTTTTCTCTTGTCCCCCGTATTAGCAATCTGCTCACAACCACTCCTATGCTCACTGCCACTAGTAATATGGTCACTACCACTGCTTAAATCAGTCCCCTGCTCACTGAAGTAGTCACTCCCAATTCTTGAATCTCCTTCAACTTCACTCCCACCTTCCTCAACCCCCCCCCCCCCCCCCCCCTAATTCTGCCTCATATTCAGCCTCACTCCCACCTTCCTCACCTCCTAATTCTGCTTCATATTCAGCCTCAGCCCCACCTTCCTCACCCCTAATTCTGCCTCAAGCCCAGGTAAAGATAAAGCAACCACAGCAGGCTCATCTACCCCATGTTTAACATAAATCTCACACCTTTTATTCTCCCTAGCAATCTGAGTTAAGTGGAGACTACTAGCATCATTATGAAGTAGTTTTAAAGCTGTAAAGGGTTCAATGGTCAACTTATATGTCAGCGAGGCTATTTTCCCATATCTTTGGTCTGCTATGTACTTCACTAAATGGGGATAACATATTAAGTCAGGGTCCACACACACTATTTATGTCTGACCATTCAAATATTTTAACTGAGGCTTTTTCACGAAATTACCACCATGATGAATAATTAATTCCACACTTTCATTCATCCTGACAACAGAAATTTAAGGCATATTTAATCATAAAAGCAACAGCTTTGCAGTATCACTTTATACACCAACCAACTGTCAGAAATAAAACTAAAGAAATGCAGGACCACACTTTATACAAACGTATTCAAACAATAATGTAGTACAACAGGACCCCACTACATCAAAATCAATACAAAATATAAGCAAAAGCAACAGCAGTAGGACCACAACACATCATATTCAAAGCAAATTGACAGCATATTCGCATATTCCATTAACAACAGTATAATATACCTACACTATGCACATATATTGCCTCCACCAAAACAAAAAAAAAAAAAAAAAAAAAAAAAAAAAAAAAAAAAAAAAAAAAAAAAAAAAAAAACTATGCCTATATATTGTTCTACATATAGACTTGAACATACCTTACTCCTTCGCATATATTCACTACGACTTCGCCTTCACACCTTCGTCCCCAATGTTTGTCACCCACTGTTCGTCACCGATGTAGGGATGCCGTCTGGAGGTCGTCGGGATTAGGATTTAGGGTTCGTTGGTCATGATTTTGGGAGATTTGGCAAGATTCCCAGTGGTCGCGAGTTTGTGTTCGTTGGTTTCAATTGACCAATTTGAATTAGGGTTAGCAATTGACCATTTAATTTGGGTATATTACACCTAAGTGATGAAAGTGCTGCCACATCTACAAAAACAAACAGGTTAATAACATATCAGCTCCACATCAGCAAAAGAAAACCGGAGACTTAAAGGCTACCTTCTAAAAGGGCTAGGCGACCAAAAAAAAAAAAAAAAAAAAAAGGTTTGTGGATCAAATCAGCACTTATGAAAGGTCAGGGTGCGGCATGAAGAATCGCATATGGTTCAGGGTGTGGGATGACACTTTAGCCTTCAAATATTGGAAATAGAAAAGGAAAGAATTGTTCAACATCCTTGCTAAGCTCTCCGTTTATTTCATTTACTTTTGGGTCTCAAGATGATCCACATATGGATAGAACTGGGTTGAAAACCTATCTATTATCAGGTATTTGAGGTAGAATTCAGACTGAGATCATATTTTAGTATGTTAAGATTAGATCCTAGCATCCTGCTGATACTTGAAGTTAGATTAGAACTGTGTCCAAGTCCTATTACTTGAAGACGACTCTGATTGAATCAGTGTGCATATATAGTAAGAAGAGAAGATAAAGTTTAAACACAAGAACTAGAAGCATACACACCTAGTCCACCTATTAAAGTGAAAATGAGAAAATAAGTACCAAGCTTCCTTTTCATATCTTCATCACTATGTCCACCTTTTGAGATGGCAAACCTCTCCACGAATTAAGTTGGATCAACTGATCAAACAATAAAAATAGTATGACTGCATCACAGAAGGGCATAGGCATAAAGGACACACCATTTTGTGATATGGATCTTGTTTACATGAAGTTAACCAGTAACTGGATTGTCCATATATCACAAAGCATGAAACTCTTGTGCACTTTGACGGTGTGACCTTCCTTTCCTCAGCACATCTGCAAGAGTGATTCTACGGATCCACCTCACCTAGAAATCGGAGAAGAAAGGGTTGAGAAAGTGACTATTCCTTCCCTTTCTCAAACTCAACTTGTGTTCGATAAGTAAAAGCTGTACTGAGTTTATGATACAAGGGGCAAGAGATGCCATCTACTTGATTGACTAATCAAGCTTCTCAAATTAAATGGGAAAACAGAAGAAAGAAAATAAGGAAAAAAAAAAAAAAAAACATATGAATGGGATAATAAAACCATGCATAACTTGGAATGGGGTAACCTCAAATCAGATATAGGAGTCCAGCACTCCAGCCACCCAATATACACTCAAAAATATTCAATTATCACTCCTTGAATTCATAATACAGTATGCCACCTGTATCCATTTGGCAAACTACAAAATAATATGAAACCAGAAATCAAGAGTACATTAGTTTTAAAGTACGAAGGAGCTTGTTTTGAACTACACAGGATCGTACTTCCAATTTGATTGAGAAAAAAAGTGCATAAGAAACACCAGTCAGAGCACACAGCACGCAATCAAGCAACTATCTTCGATGGCAGTTATAATAACTACTACAAGTGACATACTGAGAATTAAATCATATACCAAAAAAAAAAAAACTTGAGCAGGGCACACACAGGTGAGCAAATGTAATAATTGCACACAAGAAAAAAAGAAATACTAACAATAACTTTTATTTTAAGATAACCAACTACAAATTTCTATCAAGTATCACCTATCTAAACCATTAAACTACATTGTACCAGTTACTTCAAATTGTGAGTTGAATAGTTTTCTATCCAATCAATTCTAATGTTTAGATTCTATAGCCATATTTCCCAGTTTTTGAATGCAGAATAACTACATCTTATGACCAAACTTATTCCTGGGTAGAGATCATATCAGGCAGGTTAACCACCTTTCATGCAACAATTGATGATATGTACTCTTTAGAATATGGTAAGTGGAAGAGGCTTAGACAAGGTCACTACTGAACCTTATGCTCATGATATTATTTCATAACAAGAATCAGAGGTTAACACCTACTACATAATGATTTTAGGCATGCATAACACTATAATGTCAAAAAATTTAAGAGAAAATCTCTTAAATCACACCTTTCTATGCAAAATCAGCAGTTAATGAGTCAGCTTCTATCTTTAACTCCTCATATAGCAACTGAAGAACTTCATAAATTTCTGTTGTGTTTTGATTTACTGAATCACCAGCATGAAACTCAAAAACTTGAGAATCCATCTCAATCCAGCTACAACCAGGTGTTTTAGTCACCCCTTTCTCTTTCATCAATCTGAGCATCTTTGCTGATTCATCCCATCTCTTCGCATGTGCATATATCTTTGAAGAAATTATATAATTACCAGAATTTGATGGTTCCATCTGTAGAATAAGCTCCATGACACGTTCAGCAATTTCAACATTTTTTACCTTGCGGCAGGCACCCAGCACTGCACCTAATAAAACCTCATCAGGTTTCTCAGGCATCTTCTCAATTAAGTCCCATGCTTCCTCTACACACCCAGCACGAGACAAAAGATCAACCATGCAAGAATAATGCTCAATTTTTGGAACTAGTCCATGAGATTTCATCAAACTAAAGATTCGGTAACCTTCATCAACCAATCCTGCATGCACACATGCAGAAAGTACTCCAACAAATGTGATATCATCTGGGAGGTTAACATCACCCTCAGCTGACATGTGGTCAAATAGAGACAGAGCCTCAAAGGCTCTCCCATGAAAAGCAAGAGCTGAGATCATTGCATTCCATGAGACTCTATTCTTCATGGACATGTTTTCAAAAATTTGGTATGCAGAATCCAGGCTTCCACATTTTGCATACATGTCAATTAATGCTGTACCAACATAGATGTCATGCTTCAAACCTCTTGTTGATGCATATTCATCAATCCATTTCCCAATATCTAGGGCTCCAATAGAGGCGCATGCAGAGAGCACTACAACCAATGTGATTTTATTAGGATTAACTCCTGCTTCCTTCATGGTGTTGAATAATGAAATTGTTTCATCAGAAAATCCATTTTGTGCAAATCTGTCATAGATAGAAAACATATCAAAATAAGAAAATATAGAAAACAGAAGTGAAAACAATAAGAAACTATCACCATAATAAAGGACATATAAGAGACTTTCATTCTATGAAGTGTAGCTGTTGGACTTGAAGATAATGTCTTTAACTAGTATGGCACTACCTCTCCTCTAAGCTCCTTCTGTTATCTGCCTATCCCACCCCTTCCCAGGTCTCTATGTTAGGTGCATACTTATTTTCTAGATAGAAGTATCATGTTTCTTCTATATTTCAGGTGAGTAGCCATTTTAATGAGATAACAAACATAACTATCATGTGTCACCTTCCCTGGACAAGAGGAATAATAATTGGTTTCCACATTAAAGTAATGTAATTTATGTAGAAGTGTAAGACTCCAGCAGAAATAAGTACAAAAGTAAACATGCATTGGACAAAAACCATAAATGATGGAGTTTCACTACACATACGGCCAATTTCTACTCCCTCACTTTTACTCCCTTACTTGGCAAGCTATGATAAGGCAGGCATTTTCACCATGTGGGTCCTACCAAAAGTGTTTACTTCCCAAAGTATCATCATTTAGGAAAATGCTACATGTACTCCTAACTTTTACTCACACACTCATACCCTATACCCTTGAAGTAAACACTTTTGGTAGGACCCATATAGTGAAAATGCCTTATTATAGCTTGCCATGTAAGGGAGTGAAAGTGAGGGAGTAGAAATTGGGTGTATGTGTAGTAAAACTCGATGCTCTGCATCACGGAAAAAGAATAAATAAATAAAACTTAACAAGGTATCTTAAAGGCCAAAAGAAACTTTGCAGGGAATCATGAAATTTTGTAAGAGTTAAGAAAAAAGTGTTCACCCTGAAATCATTGCATTCCATATGATCACATCTTTCTTCCTCAGGCCATCAAAGATCCTCTTGGCTGAAGCCAAATCACCACATTTCCCATACATATTAATCAAAGCAGAGCCTATGAAGGAATTTAGTTCAAAATTTTTCTCTAGAACATAGCTCTCGACACACCTCCCCAAATTCAAGTCCCCCAAGCCCCCACAAGCTCCAAGAACACTCACAAGTGTCATCTCATTGGGTTCAACCCCCTGATTCCTCATCTCCCCAAACAATTCCACCGCCTCCCTAGCATAACCCATCTGAGAATACCCTGAGATCATCGAATTCCATGACACCAAATCTCTCTCAGCCATTTCATCAAATACCTTCCGCGCGCATCCCAACTTACCGAACCTTGAGTACATCGTGATCAACGAATGCCTAACGTGAAAATCCAGGCACAACCCAGTTTTCACCACCTCACAGTGAGTTGACTTGCCAAGTTGAGCAGCCGGAAGGCTCCCGCAAGATATGAACACAAACGGGTAAGTAAAGTTATCAGGTTTTAGGCCTAAAGACTTCATCTTGCAATAAGATTCTAAGGCGAAATCGAACCTTTGCCACGTAGTAGCGAGCCCTCTGATCATAATGTTGAACCCATACTCGTTGGGGGACGGGATGTGGGAGAAGTAAAGAGTGGCATAGTTGAAGTCTTGGAGGTGAATGATTTTGCGGAGAAGAAAGTTGGGTTTGTAAATGGAACGAATGAGGAATTGGGTATGGATTTGTTGGATTTGTTTGGCGGAAACGCATTGTTGCAAGTAGAGTAAGAGCTTCTGAGTTATATGCAGAAGCTGATGGTGTGGGTTATGGGAGGTTTCAAAGGTAAGAAAGCGGGAAGCTTGGAACTGAGAACACTTTCTGCTGAGGAGCATTTCTCGGTCCCGCCTTAACAAATCATCTTTCCTATTTATTTACAGAGTTTTTTTTTTTTTTTTGGTACTAGTAATTGTTTTAGGCTCCGTAGTAAAGTATAAAAATGACTTCTGAAAAATGAGTCATTTTTTAGAAATTATCTTTTTTACGATATTTGACTGCTCAACGAATGTCTTTTTGTATTTTGTTCATTTTCTAAAAAATAAACAAAATTATATACTTCATTTTCCAACTCAAATAAGTCTACTTTGATAATCAATTTCTCATTCACTCATTATCTGTTTTGAATGTATAATATATTATAAATTTCGCAGGTTAAGGCCACCAAAAAAATGACCTGCGAAATAGCATGCCTAACGGGCCTGACCCGCTAATACCTGCAGCCTAGGCCCTAATAAAAATAAATAAATATACATATATATGTTACACAGCACAATATATATATATATATATATATATATATATATATATATATATATATATTAATGAATGATGTTTATACACATTTTACATAGATAAATATACAGCGGTATTTATACATAGAAGTCTAGCAAAGAGTTAGCTAACAACCACTCAATAAGCTCTAACAGAACTTATTAATAATCTAACTGTCTAATACTCTCCCTCAAGCTGACGGGGGATACGGGACCACGCTGAGCTTGAACCGTAAATCAACAAAATGTTTGGAAGATAGCGGTTTGGTGAATATATCCGCGAGCAGATCATGGGTAGAAACAAAATTCACTTTCAACCCTCCGGTGGACACTTTGTCCCGGACAAAGTGGTAATCTACCTTGACGTGTTTTGTTTTTGCGTAAAACATGGGGTTGGCACACATGTATGTTGCACCCAAGTCGCAGATTAAGGAGAACAAAAACCTAATTTGAAGAAAAACATGTGCATGCTGCTAAAAGGAAGTCGCAGATTCATTAAATTGGAGTGCAAAATCTAAATTACCCGTTTTATCCTTCATTTTAACACCTACTTCACGCCAAAACTAACGGATGACCATTTTGACTTAAAATTCAATAGTCGGATGACCACTTTGAGTGCAATTAAAAGTTAATGAACCAATTTAAGAAAAGGCTATAGTCGGAAGACCATTTTGGGAATTAACTCTTTATTATAATAAAAATGTGATTGTCTATAAGTTTATTTGGTTTAAAATTGTTTATTTATTTTTATAAATTATAATTGTTTATTTATGAATGCTCTGATGTGGTTATTGATTATTTTGGATTTAGGAAATCATGTAGAACTGTTTTCATGTGCATGTAAAATTGTTAAAAACTTTTGAATCTTAATTCAAGTTATTTGACATGTACAAGTAATTTATATAATTATATTATTACTTAAATTAATAGGGGAAAAATGATAAATAATTTAATGGTAATGTTTAGCTTCTTTTGTTTTTTTTTTTTTTGAATGCTACTGGCTCTATTACATTGTAGTATCACTGAGGCTCGAACTCACAATCTTCCAAATGGAAGTCCAACTCGGTACTATTAGACCATATAGTCTTAGTATGATCATGTTTAGCTTAATTATCATAATAATTATTAGAGAATTATACTAATATATCATAAGTATATGCCTTTTCATCATATCACATTTATTATTATTATTATTATTTTGAATTCCATGTCCTTTTGGATTTTCTTTTTCTACTACTACTACTACTAATGATTTACATATCAGATTATATTTTTCTTTTTTACTGCAAACCTTGTTATTATTATTATTAAGTAAATTAAGTGAATTAGAGATCATTTTCCATTTTTCTTTTTTTACTCCTAACAATAGAAGTAAATTATATATCCTTTTGTATTTTTCTATTTTATTATTATTATTAATAGTATAGATAGATATAGATGAAGTAAATTAGGGATCATTTTTCATTCTTCCTTTTTTACTCCTAACATTATAAGTAAACTAGTATTTTCACCCGTGCGATGCACGGAATGGAATTGTTGTAATATATTAAGAATATTTAAATCGATATATAATTATTTAAGAGTTAATTTCACCAGAGGTCGCTTATCTTTTCTGAAAATTTCAAATTTAATCATAGAATATAGTTATTAATTATTACGATTTATTCTATGTTATAATTCTTACGTTAATATTCTTACAATTATTATTAACACTTAATTACATTTACATATTATTATTAACACTTATATTATTATTATTATATTATTATTATTAGTTTCTTTTCAAGTACTGTTAGTATATATTATTATTATTAGTTTCTTTTCAAGTACTGTTAAAATATTATAATCGAATTTTAACGCAGAATTATTGTACGAATGAGAAAGTACAAATCAATATATTTTATTCGGAAGAGAGATTTTTAAGGAATTGGGCGGAAAGTTAAAATTTCAGGATTAGAATTATTGAACGAATGGGAAAGTAGAAATCAATATATTTTATTAGGAAGCGAGATTTTTTAGGAATTGGGTGGAAAGTTAAAATTTCAGCATTTTGTTTTTATATATAGTATAGATAGATTGTATTACACTATTCTAAAATATTAGAATAGAATTTTAACAGCAGAATTACTGTACGAATGAGAAAGTAGAATTCAATATATTTTATTAGGAGGAGAGATTTTTTAGGAATTGGGCGGGAATTTAAAATTTCAAGATTTTGTTTTTATATATAGTATAGATAGATTGTATTACAGTATTTTAAAATATTAGAATAGAATTTTAACGCAGAATTATTGTACGAATGGGAAAGTAAAAATCAATATATTTTATTCGGAAGAGAGATTTTTAGGAATTGGGCGAAAAGTTAAAATTTCAGAATTTTGTTTTTATATATAGTACTACCTCCGTCCCATTTTATGTGTCTTGGTTCGGTTAACGAGGCTTGACTGAAGTTATTTTTAATTTAATTTTTCATAATATTAAATTTCGTATTACTATACAAAATTTATATATTTAAAAACTACACTAAAAGTACTATTAAACACAAAAAAATCAAATTTAAAAATAAGTAAAAAATACTAAATAAAATTAACAAAGAAGAAAGAGTTAGTTTGACTCAGGGAATAGTAAGTAGGACAGATAAAATGGGACAGAGAGAGTACTAGTTTTTTACACGCATTGCGCGATTGGGATAATGCCCAATGTTTTTTTTAATAAGTACTTTAAAGTACATCAAGGTAGGATTATATTAGAATTGTTCATGCATAAATAATTGAATGTTGAATTTGCGTATTTAAATAGGTAATTCTAAATTTACAAATGCAAGATAAGATAGTCAAGATTGATTATAATTGTCAATAAAATAATTGTATAGGTATGGTTGAAACCAAATATGGGACATAAGGGAGAGCAAATAAAAATTAGGGTATAAAATTTTAAATATATACTAATATTGAAGAGCTAATTATTGATTGTCAAACAAGGACATTGCGAGGTAGTTTTTCCACTTCAATTTGTTGTGTAATTTGAATACTCTTTTTGTAAATAAATCCCTCAAGTAGTTAATATGATTGGCTTAATTATATTTTTTTTATATTTTTTTATTTTTTAAAACAATTATGATGATGATTATTATTATTATTATTATTATTATTATTATTATTATTATTATTATTATTATTATTATTATTATTATTATTATTATATGTATACCCTTAGGTCATTTTACATGTTAATCTAAAAAGCTAATTTTTGCAAATATCTTTTTACCAACCGTTGATATAATTCGTTGGTCAAATCCGCTAATATAATCTGTTAACGCTAATCGCTAACTACTGATTGTCAAACAAGGATATTACGAGATAGTTCTCACTTCAATTTGTTGTATGATTTGAATACTCTCTTTGTCAACAAATTCCTCAAGTAGTTAATATGATTCGCTTTATTAATTATGTTTTTCTTAATTTTTTCATGGTATTAATAAAATAATTGGTAAATAAATATATAACATTATTTTGTATTATAACTTTGATATTTAATTAAAAAAAATAGTGCACAAAAAAGATAATAGACAATGTAGTGAATATAATCAATTGATGAAGTTGAATGTAAAGAATTTTTACATTGGAGAAAAATAAATACAATATAATATAATAAAATTATTTCTCTTACTTAATTTATTGATAATGAATATTTTTTTTAATAAAGACATTGTAGGGACAGTGTAGCGAATATAATCAATTGATGAATTTGAATGTACAGAATTTTTATATTGGAGAAAAATAAAGACAATATAACACAATGAAATTATTTCTCTTATTTAATTTATTGATAATGAATAATTTTTTTGAATAAAAACATTGTAGATACATAATTCTATATTAAAGATCGAAATGCATATGTATTATTTTTTGTTGTAACTACTAAATTATTATTTAATTTAATAAAAGTAAAATAGAGTACTAAATATGTCAACTTTGATTGGGATGGGGTTCGAACTTCGAACTTAAGACCTTTCTTATTGAAATCAATGAATAAGTTAACGGTGAACTAACAGAAATTAACGGAAAAGATAATATTTAACGGAAAAGTTAACGAATAATCATATTCATTAAGGATAAATTAGTAAATCTTAAGAAAAAATTAAAATCTGGTCAATCTGAGCCATTTATTTGATTAAAAAACTTGACCGCCATTTTTTCTACCCATTATAGGCCTAACTCTATTGGGCTCTTATTAGTATAGTAGATAGATAGATTGTATTGCACTATTTTATAATATTAGAATATAATTTTAACCCATAATTATTGTACGAATGAGAAAGTAGAAATCAATATATTTTATTAGGATGAGAGATTTTTTAGGAATTGGGCGTGAAGTTAAAATTTCAGGATTTTGTTTTTATAGATAGTATAGATTGTATTACACTATTTTATAATATTAGAATCGAATTTTAACGCAGAATAATTGTACGAAAGGGAAAGTAGAAATCAATTTATTTTATTAGGAAGAGAAATTTTTTAGGAATTGGGCGGGAAGTTAAAATTTCAGGATTTTATTTTTATATATAGTATAGATATAGATTGTATTGCACTATTTTATAATATTAGAATAGAATTTTAAC